GTCTCTGAAGCACCAGGCGGACATGGTTCTCGTGTTCCTCCTGGTTCTTTGAGAAAATCAGGATGTCGTCTATGTACACAAAGACAAAGCGGTTAAGGAAATCACGCAGGACATCGTTGACCAGAGACTGAAATACTGATGGAGCGTTAGTTAGACCAAAAGACATGACTAGGTACTCAAAATGACATAAGGGAGTGTTGAAAGCCGTCTTCCATTCATCCCCTTGACGGATACGGATCAGGTGATAGGCGTTCCTAAGGTCAAGCTTGGTGAACAGGGTTGCCTCTTGGAGAGGTTCAAAAGCAGAGGTGAGAAGGGGTAATGGGTACTTGTTCTTAACAGTGATGTTGTTTAACCCACGAAAGTCAATGCAAGGTCGCAGTGACTTATAGGAAGGACGAATAATCGAATAATCCCAGCAGCCACTGAGTCAGTGATATATAGCTCCATAGCCTCTTTCTCAGGACGGGACAGGTTGTAGAGGCGGCTGGTGGGTAGAGGAGCCCCAGGAAACAGATCTATGGAGCAGTTGTAGGGCCGATGAGGAGGAAGGGAGAGAGCCCTCTCCTTGCTGAAGACCAATCTCAGGTCGTGGTAGGTTGCAGGGACTCCAGTTAAATCTACAGAAGCAGCAGAGCAGAAGGCAGGGTTTGGGGAGACAGAGACAGGAGGCACGGCAGATAACAGGCAGTTAGCGAGACAGTACTGATCCCATTCAATGATTTTTCCCTTAGCCCAATCAATGTGTGGGTTGTGGGTGCGAAGCCACGGATAACCCAATACCAGAGGTGTGGAAGGTGCAGAGATTACCTTTAACTGTATGAGCTCTCTGTGGTTGCCGGAGGTGATCAATGTCAAAGGGGCTGACTGTGCTGTTACAGAGGAGATTATTTGCCCATTAAATGCATAGGCTGTTAGAGGTTCATCTAAAGGCTCCAGGCAGAGTCCCAGCTGTTCAGCTAGCTCACGGTCCAAAAAACTATCCTCAGCACCAGAATCAATGAGGGCTTGGAGAGGCAAAGTTATAGTGTTAACACAGATCTTGGCGGGTATTAGAAAACGGCTCAAGGAAGGGGGTAGAGATGATGGCTGTGGAGCCTCTGCAGCGAGTGTGTGAAACTCGATGGAATACTCGGCCACAGTCCGGTTTCCTTGTTGTAAACTGAGCAGCTGATTCTCGGCGGAGCCAGAATAATTAGGATGATCAAAAACAGCAGAAAAACGATCTGAGAAGCATTCAAAACGCAGAGAGTCATAATCCACTGAAGAGCTCAAAGCCTCTGCCCAGGTTAAAGCCTTGCCACGGAGCAAACTCAGAACATAATTAATTCTGGTAACATCAGCTGCAAACGAAACAGGGCGCTGGCGAAAAACCTTGTTGCACTGGAAAATAAATCCTCTGCATCTCTACACCTCTCCGTGGAATGGCTCAGGGTCGGTGATGGGGAAATCCTGGCGTGGAGTAGGAAAAAGAGCTGGATTGGGAGTGGCATGACAAGCTGCAGCCGAGGTAGTTAGAGCTGAGATCTGGCAAGCTAACTCAGAGACATGATGAGCCATGGATTGACTCGACTAACGCCCGAATGAGCTGGTCGTGTTGACCCAGAAGGGAACCCTGACTAGACAGAGCATGATGGACTGTGGCGGGATCCGCTCCAGTGCCTGCGGGGTTCATTGTTGGCCAGTTCTTCTGTTAGGCTTCCCGAGAAGTGACTGGAGATGAGAACCCGCTATGCAAGCACTAAAACTGACACTAGCAAGGAGTTGACGAAGAGCACATAGAAGGGAGACGTGGAGCTGGACTGACCAGGAGGGGAGGCTGGACGTGGCAGGCAGAGCGGCAGGTATATGTGGATCTGGAACAGGAAAAATAAGCAGGATTAGGAAATATCCTTTCACAAGGAGCATCAAAAAATCACTAGGAAAAATACTAGTAGGCCTGGACGATAGTTTACCACTGAAGAATAAACGAAGAACTGGCGAAGTCTGAGGATGGGAACCAGGGTTTTAAGCAGGTGCAGGTGAGTAGTGGCAATCAGTGAGATGAACAACAGCAGCGGAGGTGAGTTGGCGGGAATCAGAATGTAGGTCAGCCACGCCCAGCCAGGAAGACAGACACACACACAGACAAACAGACAAAACAAACACAGAAGGGGAAAAGAAGGAGGAAGTACTGCAGATCCTCACAGAGCCTGCCGAGGCTATAAATTACTTTGATTTGTTGTTTAAATAGGGGGCCTACAAAATCCATCAGCCCCAGGGCCTGATGGCAGGTTAAGGCGGGCCTGCCTGCCAGCCATCCTTCAGTCCAAAGTGCAGCATCACTGCTCCCACTGAGTGCAACACTGCTCTCTTTATAGGTGAGTTAAAAATATATTACACAGTATTAATGTGTTAATAAGCTGAATTTCTCCATAAATTCAGTCAATTAAAGTTGATAAAATGTTCTAACAAATGTTAGTTGATGTGTTAACAAGCCTAATAACTTATTGCATAACAAGCTTGAAATATACCCATCCTCTACTCATCCATCCTTCCCCCCTCCCCCCCCCCTTTATACAGGGCTATGAAGAGGATCACCATCCTGACTAATGCGGCTTTCACACCAGCGCTTTTCCCATTCTAGCTCCGTGCTAGAGCTTTTCTGGTTCAGCTCTGGTTTCCCTTTTCTGCTCCCGCTTTGTTCACACCGCCCAGAGCCCGACTGGTGCTGCCGCTGCTGCGTCATGACGTCACCGTTTACATCGCTGATTTGCTCCCCAACGGCGCTCACAACAACAACAACGGGGGATTGCGTTGGGTCGATGATCGTGTTGCTTTTAATCATACGAAGCCAGATTAAATTAAATAACGACTTCTCCAACCTTATACTTTTCTCCAGAGTGCCGTGGTTCATTGTTTATTAATGTGTTTCAGGGGCATTTACCGACCGCTGCAGTGCTGGCTGCTCTTCCACGGGAGTTTATTCTCCCGTTAGCTCCGGGTTAGCTCACACGGCTCTAAAGTATTCACTGTCTGACTGTCACACAAGCAGCTGATACATATCCCCAGTTCCCCTTAAGTGAATGTGTGTCAGTCTGAATTGACGCTGTTTGGCATCACAACGCTGTTATGAAAGTTTCTCTGGTATAACATGGGTGATGTTAGCATAGCAACCGAAGCTAAACTGACTACTTGCTATTGCTATCCTATTGTGGCATAAGCCGTTTTCTACAGGCACATTTTACCGGCGTATTTTTCATTATGATTCTACTTGTGATAGTCGGACATGACAACCTGTGCAGCCCATGTATTGATTCCATCCGATAGCTGCTATAATAAAAAACAAAACGTCTGCCTGCTCTCCACAATGATCAATGACAGCGAACGGATGGTCAAAGTAAGGTACAAATAAACAGAATCACACTAAGCCTGGTTAGTGTTGCCTGACTTTATAAAGTGTGTTTTTTTATAAGTGTGTGGTTGCGTTCTAGTCACTTTGCTCAGCGCTACTGCTTGTTACAACTTTTATTTGCCGTACTCGCCTTTAACTGTTAGCTCAGGTTAATCTCGCCCACCTCCGACGTAAGCGTGACGTATGCGGTTCTTGCTTCTAGACCAGGGGTGGGGAACCTCCGGCCCCCGGGCCGTATACGGCCCGCGAGGTCATTTATAAACACACGCAAAAAAGAAAAAAATTAAAGAAATCTAGACCACAAAATAATTAAACAAGCGAGTGCCTGTTTTTCCTGTCAGGGTCCTTGAACGCGACACGAGCCTAACGTGTCATCACGTGGTATATGTCTCGTCTGACAGGGGTGTTGTTCTGACGGAGAGCACCAGAACGCCACTCCGGCACTTCAAAAAGTGCAGTACCCATAAGGAGCCGTACACATGCCGCAGTTTTTGAGTGGCTGTGTCTTTAGTTGAAAGCCCAGTGGCGATCTGTTCATCTGTCATACTGATCATACAGTCAATAACTTTGTTGTTATTAGCATCTGGTTAGCTAGCTATGCTAACGAATATAAGAAGCTTTTTCTACAACCAGTGAGGTAAAGGCACATCTATATATGATCATTATAGTTATAAAAAAATAAGAGAATAATGTAAACAGGTATAAAATACTATATGACAGTAACAAAAAGTTGTTATTAATAAACAAGAATACAGTTTGAAAGGGGAGTGATTTGTAAAATATCCATAAAGAAAAATTAAATCTGCTTACAGTTCTGTTTCATATGGGTGTTGAGAGATGTATCCATACAGTAGATCTCCTAATGTTGCTCTCAAAGTGCACCAGATTGATGGTTTTAACTTCAACATTTAAAAAAAAATCTTGTGTCCATATCTTTCTGTTTTGGTGGTCATGCCACAACCGTGCACATGAATGCATGCGCGAGTCATGGTAAGATATCTGGATTAAGAGGTTGCTTTTTCTTTGCACAGCATGAAAGAAAGGTGAAATGAATGGGCTGTGATTTTAGTATTTTTAAGCAGAGGTCAATCATTTGTACGGCTCTCGGAGGATGTTGAAAAAATTGAAATGGCCCTTGAGAGGAAAAAGGTTCCCCACCCCTGTTCTAGACCAGACTGTATATATAAATGGACGTAGGGTCCGTGACGTCACCCATAGGATTCTGCAGAGTTGCCGAGAAGCCCTTAGTAGGCGGAGTCGGCCACTAACGGCTCGACAGTGACGTCATAGTTCAACTCCCACCTGCTCCAGCCTGCTCCAAATAAGGGCAAAGAGGCGAAGCCGAGGCGGGACCTCCTGCCACCGAGCTGGAAGTTCCAGAGCTAGCTGAAGCTACTAAGCTAAGCTAACATGCTCCCCATCTGCACACTGCCGTCGCATTTTACGTTTCTAAGGTAAGCGGACATGAAACTATTCAGCAATACTGTAAGCATTGGGTTGAGAGGTCATGTGTTGTTCTTTTTCCTGACGAGGACCACTGGGGCGGACCATGGGCTACAACTCTCTTCAATTATGTCATCCTCCAACAGGCGCTGAACCTGTCTGCCTATCTCCTTCCGTTTTTCTGGCGAAGTACGGTAGGCCCGACGCTTGACCGGGGAATGATCACCTGTCTGTATGCGTCTGTATGCATCTGTTTGATCAGACCGGTGTTTCCTGTTCTGCCCTTCCCAGAGCCGAACACCCCTTGGTGTTTCCCCATCAAGGCCTGCAGCTGCAGTCTCTGTTCAGCAGACAACGGGAAGCCAGCCACATCCGGCAGAGGGGTAGCCCCCTGCTGAGAGGGGAAAACCTCAGCGGGGGTGAGTAGATCACAGTCCTTAACATGGTGCAACACACCTAAATGGGAACCGGTGTGCAGCTTTAACTCTTTCTCTGTCGGGTTGAGCAGCCTTGCCATCGTGCATCCATTCTTCACAGGTGCAACTGTACGTGCAATCCAGGTAGCCTAAGAAAGAGTCAATGGGCAGACCAGCAGTACGGGGAATATCCACATTAACTGGGACAATCATTTCACTGAAAGGGGGAATAATAGCATCAACAGACATGGAGATGTAACAACATTCTGGTATGAAATCTGTGGCATGCATGAGAGGAATATCAACATCCCCCAGGTGAAGCAGACCACGACCAACATCCATAACAGCTCGAGCCTGCAACATGAAATCAAACTCCAGCAGAATAGCTTGTGTTGCCCCTCGCACTACATGCACAGCCTGCTCCCAATGTTTGCCCCCCAACTGTATGGGAAGAGTCACAGTACCCAGAGTGTCCAACAATTGACCATTTACTGTGCGTGAAAAAGTGTACTGGGTATTTAGCACACGTTTACGTAAGGCAGACGTGGACATTCTGAAGTCCTCAGAAATAAGTGAAACATTGGACCCAGAGTCAATCAAAACAGTAACATCAACACCCTCAACAAGTCCTCTAACATAGGCTGTGGGCTTAGACTCACCCACAGAACAAGAGTCCAATGCACGAGCAGGCGCTTTCCCAGCAGAATAGTCCATTTGACCCTGTAGTGGTGAAACCGGCATCTGGGTCTCGACGCCAGTCACTGGAAGTTTCCCTGCAGCCGTCCGTGTGAGGATGGAGATGGTGACCGCCGAGAGGGAGACAAAAACCTCACTCCACGCTAGGGCTGTGCGATTATGGCAAAAATCATAATCACGATTATTTGGGTCAATAATTGATATCACGATTATTTTGACGATTATTCATTGACCATTTATTAAACTTTAAAACAAATAATATTTTACCAATAAACAAGGTCAACACATAATGGAGCGCACTTCCAAAACCATACTAAACATATATTAATATGATAAATAAAAATAAATTAGACCAAAATAAATTAAATCAAATATGTTGCAGTGCACTGTCACAACCTACTGACAACTCCTTAACATATAGCCAACATGGCCACCATGGCAAATGCTGGTAGGGCTGCTCATGTCATCTCTTAAAGATTTTTTGCAAGAAAAACCAGCCTGTTTACATGGTCTGGTTTCAGAGACGAGCGCAGGCAGGTGACAATATTGCCACCTGTACTGAAGACCCTCTCTGAAGAGGAACTTGTGGCTGGGATGCACAGATACTTCCTTGCCAGGATGGAGAGCCGTGGGTAGAACTTCCGGGATTCCCTCCACCACTTTAGTGGGTCCTCCTCAGCATCCAGTGGCACTGCCTGGAGGTAGGACTGTAGCTCAAGAGCTATGGCCTTGTCCTTTTCCAGAGCAGGTTGAGGTTCTGCAGCTTGGTCTACGGTGGCCTTGAAGAAGCTCCCCAGTCCCTTCTTTTTCTTCTTTGGTGCAGCTGCAGCAGCATCCTCCGTGTCATCTGCCGTCTCAAGAGGGGCGTTCTCCTTGGAGTATTATAAAGAAAATAAGAATGACATGTTTAATCAGACTAAATGGTTATGGGTATTAACATTTATACCTAGAATTACATTATAACACTTTGACAACACATTCATTCACTTAATTGTATTTACTGTCAAATCTGACATTTTTATTTTTTATTATTATTATTACCATGAGTGTCATCACCCTCCTCATCTCAGTTGTCAGACTGGCTTCAATGGATCCTCGATTGTCCTCACTGACATATTTGAGCTTGAATCTCGGGTCCAGGGCAGAGGCCATGTCAAGCAGCTCTTGTGTCGCTGCGTCATCATATTTATCATTGAGATAGTCTAGTATCTTCTTTTTTATGCTTTTTGTGAGGTCTGTGTCATCCTCCTGCACTGCCAGCAATGAGTTGTTGAAGAGGTGCAGGGTTGGTTTCAAAAAAGACACACTTACATACTTCTCTCCAGAAAGTGCGTCTGTGAATTCCACCAGAGGGCTAAGCGACTTATTGATTGCCTCCAGTACATCAACGTCCTGCCACGTGAGGGAGAGATGTCTGGTTTTTCGGTCGCTGGAAAGGACCTGGGCAATGGCCTTCTGCTGCTCGAGGACCCTGTCGATCATGGCCTGCCTAGATCCCCATCTGGTTGGACATTCTGTCTTTAGGGAGTGTTCAGGCAGATTCAGCTGCTGCTGTGCCACTGCAAGTTCACTCTTCTTTTTCCAACTGTAGGAGAAGCTGCTGACCAGCTTCTTGCAAAGCCCCATTGCACGGCCGATCCTGGGATCCTTCATTGCATTCTCTAAGATTACAACAAATACATATTATTTAGTATCATGATGATAATCATGATCTTCATCAAAGCATAATTTGGTGTGTTGTGTGTGTGAGAGAGAGAGAGAGAGAGAGAGAGAGAGAGGGAAAGAGAGAGAGAAAAAAAAGAGAGAGATGACAGAGTAGCTCACACATAACATAATAATAATAATAATAATAATAATAATAATAATATGTAATTAATATTATCATATTAAGAGAGAGATCATCAATGTTAATGACTTACTATTGCTATTATTGTTGTTGCTGTTGTTAAAATGACATATTACATACAACAGGAGGAAGGAATCCTGCTCACCTATGGCCAAGTGGAGTCTATGCCCGAAACACTGGAGCCTCATCCATCCATTGACCTCAGCCGCCAGCTTTATATTTGCGGCATTGTCCGTAGTCATACAGACGAGTTTATCCTCTTTTAACCCCCAAGCAGCCATCGCTTCCCTCAGTCCATGGGCGATGTTTTGCCCCGTGTGGTCTTCAGGGAAAAATGCGGTTTGGAGACACTTTGTCTTCAAATTGAAATCGGCATCGATATAATGAACTGTGAGGCTCATGTATGGCTCCATGGTGCGGCTAGACCATAGGTCCGTTGTGGTGGCAAAGTAGTCAGCTGAAGCCACATCTCTCTCAACTTCCCCACGGCATTTGTCATATAGCGCAGGCAGCGCAGACCTGCTGAAATAATACCGAGACGGCATCGCGTAACGCTTGTCCAACGTGTTGACAAGTTGCTTAAAGCCCTGGTTGCTAACAGTGCTAACTGGGCACATATCTTTAGCGATGTGAAATGTAATGGCACCTGTAATATCTCTGTGTCTCTGCGAGCTCGTCGCGTAGGCCGTTGCTCTGTGCAATGCGTCCTGAATCGATGACTGTGATGATGTTGTGGATGAAGTCGAGCGGGCATCTTTTTGGTCTGCTTTTTGTTGTATTATTGCCCCGTCGTATTGCACTTTGTGGTTGTATTTCAGATGATTAAAGAGATTGGTTGTGTTAGCGTGTGGTGCCAACACAACCTGGTAACAAATCCTGCACTGTACTTTGTTTTGCTCCACGTCGGACTCCTGAAAGCCAAAGTACTTCCAAATAGTGGAAATAGTTTTACCCTTCTTTTTAACGAGTTGCTGCTCTTGTTCTGACATCTTCGCTCGCGCTGAACACTCACACATGTCACTCCCACGTGGCCGAGTGGGCTTTTAGGGAGGGGCGAAAGCGCACCCAGCAAAATAATCGTATTTTGTCAATTATGCTGTTTTCATAATCGTCGCAAGCCATAATCGTAATCGCGATTAAAATACGATTAATTGCACAGCCCTACTCCACACCTTGGCTGACGTTCCCCAGGGCTGTGTGGTCCTTGCGGGACATCGCTGCCTGGTCGTCGCGGTGAGAAGTCCGCAGAGGTGTCTCGGATCCCACCGCTGCCACCAATGTAACGTCGGAGGTGTTAAGGCTTCAAGAATACTTCTGTGTAACAAAAACTCAGGAACTTAGTACTTTTTGGAGCGTCACAGATGCCTCCGTTTATTTTACGTCGAGTCACACACCCTCTTCCTCTCACCACTCCAGGACAGACTGCGCATGCTCACAACACATTACCTCTCAACCCAATGCTTACAATACTATAAATAATAATCTAAGTTATTGAGTTTTTAGCATAATACTTCAGAATCTTAAAATCCCTTAACGTTTGTATGCAATTGTGCTAAATTCAACACTGGAATCAAGCAAATATTAATATGTTTGCATGACATTAGTTATTTATATTTTGCTATCACTTAATTATACGTTTAATACATTTAAGTCAAGCTAAGGTACAGTACATGTGATGGTAGCTAGTTAGTGCTCTTACCTGTGAGGCCTCCTCCAAACAGCATTATAACCAGACTGTATCATTAAAACTAAGTACCAGTTCTAGATCCTTGACTTTAGACAAACAATTCAAAAGACAAAATGTATTTAAAGACCAATCTTTATTTGAATGTGCCTCTTAACCTGAGATATTAGTTATACAGTAATAGTATTGACAATCTAAAAAAACTGAGCAACTCAACAGTCAACTTTATATTTCTTATTGTCTAAAGCATTTATTATTTTAATTTTTCCCCTCTCATATTCAGTGTGGACGGATTGAGACAGCGTGGTGTCCAGAGAGCTGCAGAGACTTCAGGGAGAAACCTCCGTGTGATGGACGTCCTGTCTGTTGGTTTGGCCGGAGAGGACTGAGGGTCTTTCCTCAGCGAGGAGGACCAGGCCTGATGGAGGAGCCCATGCTGGGCATAGCTGATACCAACTGCACAGGCCTAGTCTGTCACTTTATTTGACTAAATGTGTTTACTTATACATTTAATAGGTTTACACCTTCTGTCCATATGTGCTTTTTATTTAAAACATGTTTGATTAACTTTTGGTTCACATTTCAATAAATTGTATTTGCACTCCTTTTGTCCATTACACATTGGCCCCATTTATTTGTGACGTTGCAAACTCTGCGGTACAAGGCACAAGTGATGTGAAGCTCATAAAGTGAGACAAATAGAAATAATCAGCTGATGGAGTGTAGATGTGGAAATAGGTGCATTCGATCAGCTGACTGTGTTTTCACAATAAAAGTAGTTTCTTAGTGAATGTCCTGTACTGGTCTTAAAATCTCATAACATCAGCTTTTAATGTTCCTCTTGGATGTTCTTCTTGACCCTCAGAGAAGGAGAAAATGTTGAATCGTGTCTTTCAGGCATGTCCTTTCCTAACAAAAATTACAGGAAACATAAAAGATATTATTGCAGAACAAGTGGGTTATTTATGAAAGTGGTGTGTTTGTGTGTTTAGGGGCTGTAGATATAATTATTTTGTAATTGTAATGTTTTTTTTTTATTTCAACAGTGAGCTACAAAGACAATCAGATTATGAATGAACAGTATGAAGTTCATCAACATTGAAATATATTTTATTATCAAAATAATATTTAACTGTTATCAAAACGTAGTGCAACTGTAGAAGCTTGCTCTGTTGTCTCACTGAAAGAATAACTTTTACCACGTTTTTTACAGACAATATTGAGAGATAAATAGTAGCAGTTCTCACTATGTGTTAAATATCTTTGCCTTCAATACATTACATTAGAAAGCTGACAAAATCATATTGCTTGTTAACATCTAAATGTAACTTTTTGCATGGAAAAAACCCTCAACTTAACTGATGTGTAGGTGATCTAGTATTTAGTATTGTTTAATGGAATGCATATCAGTGTATTAAAGTCAATACTTCATTTATTTAAACGAATATCTTTCTTGATTCTTTCTTCAGTATGAAAACGATGTCGCTATAACTCCTATGAAAATGTTCAAAAAGTGCTCAAACTTCACATGTGTGCTAACAGTACAGCCGTGAAGACATCTACGGGACAGTTTTGAGATTTCTTCAAATACCGTTGCCATGGCAACACAATGCTTGCCATGAAACACGGTTTTCTCATAACTTCAGTGAAAATGCTCCAAACGGCCCAAAACTTCACAGGTTTGGTAACGATGCAGCCATCAACGCATCTAAGCGTATTATGGCCGTTGGCATGGTGACAGATCATTCGCCATCAAGTTAGTTCAAAAGTTTGCAGTTCAAATATTCTGCTGATTTTCCAGGCCTTTTTACTTTCTTTTCTTCTCTCATCACACATTCAAGCTCCCCGCGTTCATGTATCATTTCAATCTAAATTATTCACTTTCTTCTTACACATTACATTTCAGCATAGCAGTTTAGCGTCAGCTTTTCAGCATAAAGCATTCCCACTAGCAATTTCTTCAGGAATTGCATTCTCTTGTTAATCCTGCTTTTCAAACAAGTGTCCATTTTGTGATCTTCGAGAGACGGTTTTCCATATTTATTATATTTATTTGAATATCTCTCTTTTAACTTTGGTTTTACATTTTTCCACAATCAAGCACTTTATTTCATCTTCATCAGAAAGCCACTGCTGCTGCGATTCTCTGGCCCATCTCACGTCCCATTGTCCCCTCACTTGAGAACAAGACCCAGAAATACTTGAACTCCTTCACTTGTGGTAAGGACTCATTCAGTGTAATTCATCCAAGTGAGATGGACTCTAGTTAATGTAAATATGGTAAGTAAGAAGTTGCAATATTCCTTTTGTTCTCATCTGAATGATGAAAAGGATGCCTTGTCCCTATGGAGTGTATCGACTTAAAGCAGGACAAAAACATTATCATATGTTGAATTATGAAATGTAATATATGAATTCTGTTTATTTAGTACTCTTATACTAATCACTTCCTGTATTCCCGTGATAAAAGGGACATGCGCAATAAAACGTGTCACTTCCGTTTGAAGCACAGCTGATGGTGTACGTGTGTATTTATTCCTCTGTCACGTTAAACTATGTTCACGGTATTCCTGCCCTAAGATCATGGCATCGCTAACAGGTTATGGGCCCAGGAGGGACCATGGAAGCCGGTGGAACCGTTTGTGTTTCGACGGAGATGAGAAGAACTACGAGTTATGGGAGACAAAGTTTTTGGGTCACCTGCGACTGCTAGGATTGAAGGCTGCCATCCTAGAGGAGCCAGGTGTAGAGGATGAGGCTGATGATGAGAAAAACGAAGAAGCCTATGCGGAATTGATCCAGGTACTGGACGATAAAAGCCTTTCACTGATCATGAGAGAAGCAGCGGACAACGGAAGAAAAGCGTTACAAATACTGAGGGACCACTACGCTGGGAAAGGGAAACCACGGGTGATCAGCCTCTACACTGAACTAACGTCGCTGCAGAAAGCCGCTAATGAGAGCGTCACTGACTATATTATTCGTGCCGAAACGGCAATTACAGCACTGAGAAATGCTGAAGAGACTCTTAGCGACGGGCTGCTGATAGCCATGATTTTAAAGGGACTGCCAATCTGTTTTAGGCCGTTTGCCATCCACATTACACAAGGGGATGAGAAGCTAACTTTTGGTGAGTTCAAAACAAAGTTGAGGAGCTATGAAAGCACAGAAAAATACAATGCCAACTTGAGTGAGGAATCTGATAATATTATGAAAGCGAGTGGCTGGGTGAAGTGGAGAGATGGCCCCAATATCACCTGCTACAACTGCGGTCAGAAAGGACACCGGGCTCGTGAGTGTCGAAGTGCGAGTAGCAGCAACAGCAAAGACCAGAGACGGTGGTGCAGTTTTTGCAAAAATTCCACACATATAGATGCAAACTGCAGACGCAAAGAGAGAGACAATGCTAAACAAGCAACTGACGTTGAGGACCACTCATTTGTTTTTAAAGTACGTGACAGTCCAGTAACCAGAGTTACACATAAAGGGCTGATGGTCGACACCGGAGCAACGTCACACATAATAACGAACATCGACAAGTTTAAAAGGTTCGATGAGACTTTTCAACCGAAAGACCACTTTGTTGAATTGGCTGACGGGACAAGAACAAGTGGTGTCGCTTTGAAGAAAGGAGAGGCGGAGGTCTGCCTGCAAGACACGGAGGGACGACGAGTGACAGCGATGCTGAAGGACGCGCTATATACCGTCCTATCCACAAGACATTTTCTCTGTTAAAGCAGCGACAGCCAACGGAGCATCAGTGAACTTTCGTCAGGGTTGTAACCAGCTGATTCACCAGAGAGGTAAAATATTTGACATCAAGGAATATGATAGACTTTATTTTTTAAACACTGTGGACTGTGAAGCTGAGGACGATGCATGTTATGGATGTTATGACATTCAAACATGGCATGAAATACTTGGTCACTGTAACTATGATGATGTGTCACAACTGGAAAAAGTCACTGAGGGGATGAAAATTAAGGGTGGGATTGATAAATCTAACCTTAACTGTGAAGTGTGTACTCGAGGTAAATTTGCTCAGAGTAGGAACAGACAACCAGATGCAAGAGCTAAAGCAGCGCTCAATCTTGTGCACACTGATTTAGCAGGTCCCATTGAGCCAGAGGCTAAGGAGGGATTCAGATACACATTGGCTTTTACAGATGACTTTTCAGGGGCAGTATTTGTGTATTTCCTAAAAGCTAAAAGTGATACTTTCAAAGCCACAGAGAAATTCATTGCTGATGTCGCACCTTATGGTAAAATCAAATGTATAAGGTCTGATAACGGTACAGAATTCACCGGGACAAACTTTCAATCGCTCCTTAGACAACATGCAATACGACATGAAACTTCAGCACCTTACTCACCCCATCAAAATGGGACAGCTGAGAGAAACTGGAGAACACTTTTTGAAATGGCAAGATGCATGCTTCTTGAGAGCAATTTACCAAAGAAACTATGGACATATG